TTTTAAATTAATTTATGGCTTTATTATACTCAATATTAATAATCAATTATTTTGTTAAAATTACAATGTATAATAAATTATTTATTTTTATATAATATTGTGAAAATTTTTGCGTATTTAAACATGATAATTAAATTTTTATTATTATTATTATTGTGTTGTAGAGATATATAACCATCTTAGCTTACGGGTAACTCTCACTAATTAAAAAAAAAACTGATGGAATTTTTTTAATTGAATTTGAAATGTCACAAGTTTTATCATTAATTTCAATTTGTTATACATTATTTATTTTATCTTGCTCCTTTTTCTTCTTTATTGCTAATCGATATAAATGATTTATTAATATTTAGAGTATTAATATTTCAATGTAGAGTTAAAAAAAAATTTTTTTCTAAGCGATAAATGTGGAGCTGATATACAAACTTTAATCGAGCGTTAGTAGACACACATTAACTATTAATAGGATGTAGCACTACGTTGTACAGAGTATGAGTGAAGAGATATAACGCTGGTAGCTTGGTTACTAAACTTGTAGATTAAAGCATTGATGAATATGATGCTCACGCCGAAGATTATGATTATGATGATGATAATCATGATAGTGATAATTATAATGATAGTGATGTCGCTAGTTGGTTATTTGCGATTCGATAGCTTTTGAAAAGGCACTGCCGATGAAACGCATAAATTAACTGTACGCTAGATTACACCAATGATCAAACGATTCACCTTTTATTAGCTTTGATTTAACTATATTAAGAAATTTTTCACAGTGTTATTGTCTATTCATTCTCTAGTTTTTATTTTGGTCTAATAAATTTTATTGAAACAATTTTTATTTATAATACTTGGGATTTTAAGTTTATTTTTATTTCTAAGTCGTTTAGAAATATTTTTAATTAAATCTATAAATAAATATTTGTAAGACTGAGTTTTAATTAAGAAAAAATAAGATATTGATCTCAAGTGAAATATTTATTTATTTACTTTAAACGAAAATGTTTTTCCCGTAACCTTTAAAAATTATTTTACTTTCGTAAAAACTGTTATTTTTTAATGTTATGATTTATTTGTTATGTAAAAAATTTTTTTACAAACTTTTGTGATAAAAAGATTAATTTATTATAAAGACTTGTTATTTCTTCGTTCCTCAAGTTTGAGCTCAATTTTCACCAGAAAAAAAAATTTTTTAATTATCAGCCAATAAACTCTAAGAAGATTTAATATATCTTCTTACTTTAATATTTTTCAAGTAGATTTCTTTAGAAATCTAGCTATTGTAGTCGGTCTTATGTCGCAATTTAAAAAAAAATTTGTCGTAATATGTTTTATCTCGTCCAGTTATGTTAAAAAATAGTATTGTCTCAAAAGTTTATGTAGGTATTTATGTATGGGGTAGAATCACCGGTTTTGGGCATCTTAGTGCTAGTTTCGGACGTTTTGAAATTCATGGCTGTGCAGAAAATTGTTATGTTAAGGTAGTACCTCCGCGACAATCCAGATAAAAATTTTTAGCTTACTATCCATGTTATACGTATCGACAGAGCTAAGGTTGTAGGTTAAGATTTTTTATCGTTACTGTACTCGTCGACTACTATATTCTCTATACATATACACACACACTACGGTTTCAGTGACTAGCGGCTGTTTTTCGTATCCCCTCTCCTAAAAATAATCCTGTAAAAGTGAAATTTATTTTAATTAATCTCGAAAACTACACGGTAAATAATTTTCATTTTTTTTTTTAATTGTTCGAAATATATTCTTCAATCTACTAGTTTTTCGATAAAGTCATGAAATTCCTTCGATGGAAAAAATTCAAAATACTGTCATTTTCCCACGCTTCTCCTATGTTACATGTACAAAAATGTCATTTTCAATTGCAATTATCTCAAGTTAGGTACAGTAAATCGTCTTCAAATTTTAACAGCATATGTATTATGTATTTAATGATTTATATTCAAAGTTTCAAGGATTTCTTAAAATATTGCTTTCATAACCGTACTACCTTAAATAATATTTTCATAAAATTTTTAAATGCTCATATTAATACAAACAGACTTTATGATACTATTACGTTTATAAATTATTTATACAATAAATTGGACATTTAATATCCAAAAACAGCATACTATTCACAAGCGATGCTTCTACCCTATTAGGGTAGAAGTACCGTTTGTGGCCAGTGTACCTTTTTTGGCCACTTTATTTTCAAATTATTGTATAAATATTTCTATAAGCGCAAGACTTTATGAATTCAATTCGTATAAATGTACTTATTCATACATTCTATAAAAATTCTACTTAATTAATTAAATTTTTTACAAATTAACTAAAATATCAAGTGGCCAAAAATGGTCCTAAGATGGCCAAAGCCGTTACTTCTACCCTAATGCCGGTCCCGTCATTGACATTTTTTTTGGTCATCGGACGGTCACAGGACCGTGACATGACCGTTTGTTAAATGACGGACCGAGCAAGCGAAAATGCTGCCATCTAGTGAATTTTTAACAACTTAAAGCAATTAACTTTAAATATATGAAACTATATAAAATCTTAAAGATAAATATGTAATAATAATTATTAAATAAAGAAACTTTTGTGATAATAATAATAATAATACTAATAATATGATTTATCTCATTTCATATTAATTGCATCATTTAATAGTTGAAAGTTATTTTAAATTCAAAGACAATTTTAAAATAGTACATGAAAAAATTATTTTCATTCGACTTTAAAATGATTACCTGTACAAACTAAAACTGAAATATCTCGGTAAACTTCTGTAAAACAATGATCGATTTATTTTATAGTTTTTATTTGAGAATAAATAATAATTAAAAATTTTTGTCAAATTCATGACGGTTTTTAGTGTGACCGTAAAATTTACATCAATTTTCCAAAAATGCTTTATTAAAAAATTCTGTCAAAAACGTCTATATAGATGCAAATGACGAAATTTGTGACCGTTTGAAACGTGACGGTCATTCCAGCATCACAGAAATTTTTTAAAATTATGTGACGGTCACAGGACGGTCTTATGACCGAAAATAAAAATGACAGTCATTCCGCATCTCTAGCCATGTTAGCAGGATTACGTCCACAGTTATTAACCGATCTTTATGAAATTTCGTAGACTTATTCTATGAATCATTACCAAGATCAAGTTCGAAAATGAGCATAATTGGCCGGTTAGCTTATGAGTTCTGAGTGTTTGAAAATTTTTTTCATACTCAAAAAATTTTGAATTTCGTTAAGTTTATCGAAATGATTCTCCAGATGTAAAAGATAGATGAAATCTATTAAATTTATCTTAAAGTTTACGTAATTATCTTCAATTTAAGTTATTATTTGTTTAATTTTAATGATTTTTTAATTAATTCCGTGATTTTGAAAATTTGAAAAAATTTTTCAATGAATGTATTTCGCAACTTTTTTTTAAATAATTTTTAAACCGTAAAAGATAGCTCAAATCTATTAAATTTATGTCAAAGTTCATATAATTATCTTCAACGAAAGCTATTTTTTTCAATTTATTACGTAATTCCGAAAATTAAAAACAATTTTTGTCTTTTATCGTCAAATAACTTTTATATATTACAAATCCTTTTTTTATAGGTAGATTTCTTTTTCAATAATCATTCTAGAAATCTCCTTATCCATATCGGGTGTGGCCGAATGGCGCTTTATTTTTCAAATTGATTATTTTATAAGAAATAAAAGCTATGCAATGTATAAAACAGAGGCGCGCAGTAGCCTATCGAATCCGGCCCTTGCTTATCAAAGCATTGGACCGGGTTCGAGTCCGGCGTACACCAATGAATATTTTCAATATTTAAGTGTATTATACTGCTCAGCCCAAGAAATAAAACGAGTTCCAATCTCAAAAGTTTACCCCCTACCGTAGTCACTCATGACCTTAGTAGTTTATGCGACTTTAAACAAATTAAGAAAAAAAAAAAATGTATAAAACTTAACTTAAGATATTCTGTATAAAATACCCAGTTATAAAAAAATTTATTCAAACAAATTTATTCTGGAACTTAGAGAAATATTCCATCCACCAGTTGGAATAAAAATTCAATAATGTATCAGTGAAAAAATTTTTATCAACAAAACCCGCGTCTTATTCTCAAGACTTGTGAATGCTTACACTGAGCATGATTGTGAGGTATTCGAGTGTATAACACATATGTATATCTGACATATGTGTTATGTCTATTTCAGTGAATTCATATCGATGAATTTTAAAAACTTTCAACAAATATCCTTGCTCATGTTGACTTTGAAGCAAAAAATTTAAAACTTTTAATGAAATAAAATCAAACAATGTGTAAGACAGTCTAATCTTTAACGTCATAGAAAATGATATAATTCTTTCATTTGTAACTGACCATTGACGTATTTCGTTAATTGCCAACGCCTTGGGCTACAACGAAAAATACTTTCAACGGTTTAATTTAGTGACAAAAAAAAATAATACCATCCATCATAAGTCATAAATTACAAGTATAAAAATGTTTTTATCCAGAAGTACAATAAGATAAACTCTTACCGCTAAATTTTTTATGATACCCCGAATTCTCGGAATGTAGATTCGCATGCGCGATGCCCTGAGTTAATAAAAAAAAATTTTACTATCCAATTGATGGAATTTATTTTGAGGATCGATTAAATTTTTTTATCATTTTATTCCTTACTCTTGTAAGAGTTACTTTTATATGACTAGCTACGTCTTAAATCCTATACTTCTAGGCAATTTTATTTACTTCCTTGACTATTTCCTCGTTATAAATTACAACGAGGTTTTTTTATTAAAAAACTTTATTATTTAAAGTAATAATTAGAATGAAAAATTTTTCATAATTGTTTTTTTAGAATAAATTTAAAAATTTTAAAATGACTAAGTGCATAGAAAAAGTAATATTGCTTCATAATTTATCTTGATTGTAACTTATGATATAACTTACCTCTGCTACCTTCATACCGTTAATATAAATCAATTTACTTTCTGTTACAGCGTGAGGAGTGTGATGCACAAACATCTAGAAGCAAAAAATGATGTTAACTTTGATAAAATATTTAACCAAATGTTAGGTAACGTTTTGCTAATTATTTTTTCATTAAATTACTATAAGTGTGAAAGTAACAGACAGAAAATTTTTAAATAAATTTCAACTCGGTTTCAGACAATTAAAAAAATCGATTTTTTTTGTATTTTGAAAATAGATTTTTTTATAGAGTACGCTGGCGAGAGAAAAAATAAAAATATACAATATTTTTGAAGTTATCTTATATATTAAAGAGCGTTGGAGCTGTAATTCTGAATCGTACTGAAACGCAGAAACAAATGTTGAGGAAATAGTATGAAATTTATAACTTTGATATTTAATTTTGATTTATTAAAAATTTATAATTTAAGTTTAATCAAATTTTATAAAAGTAATAATCTAAATGCAAACTAACATTTTCATTAAATTTTTCCGATTTCTTGTGATGTATTTAAAATTTTTAAGGACGTTCATGCGCTACGTTACAGTTAAATCAGTACTAACGCTTTGTGAAATTTTTTGGAGTCCGAGAAAAAATTTTAAAGTATTAAATAATCTTATAATGATTTATAATTTTTTTATTTACCTGAAATATTCTTTAGGCATCTATTTTAAAAAATCAGCAAATATAAATTCAATATATAATCATTCAATATAAAATCAGCTGTATTTAAGTGCTTGTTTCAGTACGGTAAAAAACAAACTAAAATAATTTCAATTTTACCAAATAAAACAATAAATAATTATTTACTCTATGTTTTTGACGCATTTATATAAACTACTAGCGGACCCGACAGACGTTGTCCTGTACACACGTCTTAAATTAAAAAATTTTAAGATTATTTTAATGACCTGTTACAGTTTGGACCGTTTCGATGAAAATTATTATTTAAACATTATTAAGGTAAAGTACCCAGTACTTGAACACTTCTAAAAATGGGACCAGTAGTTGAACAGACTTTTAGAATTGTTGTAATACAAAATCTGTATATATATTATAAGTAATATGCGCATGTTATAATTATTCAATGATACAGTAATATTGATTTTGGTAAGTTTTTTCAATTATAAATCAAAACAATTACATTTTTGTTAACTTTAAAGTTGACATGTCGAGAATAACCGATAGATGCTATTTTTTCATGAAAAAGGTACTAAACCGTAAACCGAACAATCAGTTAAAAAAAACGGTATATCATCATTTTAAGTGAAAAAAATTGTACCACCCAATGAAATAGTCTTTTCTAAATAATACATATTTTTTGCAAAGACATAATTTTTACTATAATTTTTATATTAAATTTTAGCGTTCAACTATACCTCCCAATTTTCAAACCAGTACCCAGAACTTGAACAAGCTGCACGGAAAGAACAAGATGACACTGGATACCATCTCAGATTATACTCAGTGACATCTGAGGCGAAAAAAATTTTCAGATGGTAGCTAGTATAATCCAAATTACACTGAATAATATCTGGATTATACTCATTGTAATCTGGATTATACTCATTGTTATCTGGATTATACTAGCTACTATCTGAAATTTTTTTTCACTCAGTATAATCTGGGATTATATCCAATATAATCTTGTTCTTTCTGTGTGGGACCGTATAAGTTTAACAGCACTCTAACCCTTAATAAGTTTATAGACTAATGGTCAGTATTGTGATTTGTATTAATTACTGCAAATTAAATAAGTTTTATAACTAAAAATTAGTATAGTTAAAAATTATGAAACGTTTTGAATTGCGTTTTTTTTTATTTATAATTTAAAATTTACTTTGTCATTCATAAAAAATGTAATTAAAAAATTAAATACAAATATTTTTCATTTTTAAATGAACATATTAAATATTTTTAGTATTATTCAATGATATGTTATAAATCTTTGAATATTTCAATAAAACGTTAAAAATTTTTGGTGTGTCTATTGGCATATATTTTATTAGTTCAACTACTGCTCCCGGAGTGTTCAACTACTGCGGCTTGTCAGAATTGATTGTTCAACTACTACTCCTTTCATAGTCTATCTTAAAAACGTTGTCAAATTATAAATATTCAATTATTTGCGTTATTTTGCACTTCAATCAATTCAAAATTGTCTATATTTTCATGAAAATCACTAATTTGAACTAATAATTACATCTTTATATATTAAAAGTAGGGTCAAATACGTTTTACTTTGAAACCTGTTCAACTACTGGGTACTTTATCTTACTATGTAATATTTCAATTAGCACACAGAGAGAAAAAAATGAAAAAAGTTTGGAAAATCCAACAGTGCATGACTCATAAATGCTCATTTAATTATGAAATATTAATAAAATAAAGAATGTGATAGAATTAATCTCCATTAAATAATCTTGATAATAGTATACAAAATATCTTGACTTTGTGAACTAACAAGGCTATAATAATAATAATAAAATAGTTGCCGAAATGAGGTGAAAAAATTTTTTCGATCATAAAGCACTCTGATGCTTCACATCATGAGTCGTGCAATAGGCTTCCTTACAACTGCTGTCGTATTTTAGCATCGGCGCGGCCGTGATAAAAGTCGCGCGGTACCCTATTTCCAACATTAGATAAAAAATATTGTTCTTGAAGCTACAGTTCCGAGAGTCAATAATTTTTTTCAGATATTTCCTCCTTTTAAAGGATCTTTTTTCCGATTTTTTTATATCACCCATAGTTTTGAGTTTTTTACAAAAAACTCAGATTGTTTATTTTGTCTATGTTTTTTGTGAATAACAAATTGGAATCTATTAAAAAAAAAAACATTATTTTCAAAATTTAATTCCGCATCAAATGCGTTACTGTTCATATTTTAATCACAATTTCTAAGATTTTTCTCAGTAAATTTACATAGAATTCTTACAAAAACTTTCGCCACTATGTAACATAGTAATGGTTACCATTCTACATAGGGATGAGATCAATTTTTTTCTCTCCGTGCAAATGATTGATTTTACCACAATTATGGAGGGTAGAAGTACTTCTACCCTCCATAACCATAATAACACAAAATTTTCTTGAATCTGATCGCAGTGCCTACTATCGGGTCACACTTAAATAAAAATAAAATATTTTGGAATATTCGATACTACGATCGTTGCGCTGTCTGCCGGATCCAATGTAAAACATTCCAAGATTAACAGCAATTTATAAATAAAAAATTATTTTAAATGAACATTTTTCCGTGGACCGAATTGTGAATCTAAACCATGCTTGAATCCACCTGAAGACACACAAAAAATTTCATTAAAATCGGTCCAGCCTTTTAGGGGGAGTTCAGTGATAAACATACGCACAAAAGAAATGTATATATAAAGATATGAATCAGAGAATTTTTTCAAACATTATTTATGATGGTATCTACTCAAATAATATAAATATTATAATTTTAAATTTAAAAAATACTGATCTGCCAGAAGGCAGTATGTTAAAAATTTAATTTTTAATCGTTAATAACTTTTTTAAATAATCAATTAGGAATTTTTTTTTAATTTTTGAAGGATCAATCGATTAAACTTATAAAACCTAAAAAATATAAATTTATATCTTCTATTAAATCTTACGCATAAACGTCCTAATTAAAATTTTTATCTTTTCTGTGCATAAGTAAGAAATAGAAAGCAATTGTTTTTTCTTCATATCAATAGAAAATGACTGACAAGTGCAGCAGTTTTAGAATTTTCGCCAGACGCTCTAAAAAAATTTAACTAGTCCATAATTTTGTAAAATAATAAAAAATTGATTTTTTACTCTTCAAAGTTTGAATAAAATTTTATCAAAACTATGACATTAAAGTTACAATTCACTTGACCTTTTTCAATTTTATTTAACAAACAAATTTGTTCTAAAAAATTATTTTAAAAAAATTGTATTTTTAACTTATTAAAATTTCTACATGTCAATTTTTTTGCCATAATTTATCTATAATAAAAATTCTTAAAATTATTAAACATCTGCTAAACTAATTATAAAGCTTCAAAATTATATGATTATTTTGAATCGCCTAATGGGACTTGTCTCCTAAAAATAAAAAAAAATTACACATTAAAAGCTTTTAAAAATGTCCCAGTAGATTTTTTTTCCAATTAATTTTGTAATAATTAAATTTCTTGAAAGTTTTTTAAAAATTGTCTGTCTGCTACCATCATACTTATACTCACCAAATAAACATCAAAAACATTGGAACTAATTTGAAAATTGACTTTGTTCCAGGGTACCTTTTATTTAAAGAATTTTGCGAGACTGTATCAGAGGAACCAGTTCCTCAGCTTAGGTTTTACGAAGAGGTCGGCTATTAACCATTTAAGTTTAAGTTTAATTTTATAAAAATAATTTTATATTATTAAAAAAAAAATAAATTAAATTTATATCTGTCTATTTAGTGAAATACATAGAGTTTAAAAGATAAGTAAATATGTATTATATGTTTGACAGATAAAGGCGTACGAAAAACTAGAAGCCCCAGAAGAAAGAAGAAAACTCGCACGAGAGATATACGACAACTTTATAATGAAAGAACTCCTGGCGCATTCACATGTAAATATCCAACACCACACTTGGCTTTTTTTTTACTTCCTTTATTTTTTTTATCTATCATGTCACGTCGCTATACTATGAAACGAATAAAAATAAGTTTTTTCTTTCTCTTACTTTTTTATCTTTTTTAATGTACCGCGCTATCATTATTATTATTATATGTATTTTTAATTTTAATTTTTTATTTTTAAATTCACAGGAATACTCAACAGATGCTGTCTCTCATGTACACAAATATCTAATGAAGAATGAGGTGCCTGTTAATTTGTTTGAGGTAAATTTAGATTTATACATATTCATATATTAAGTATATATGGGGTATTCCATGCCAAATCGACCACTTTTGACCCCGACCCTTTTCGATTTGGCCGAAAGTTTTCCATCCTTTTCTACCCTATAAAAAACGGTTCTCAGAATTTTTTTGAATTTTTTTACCTAACTCCAAAAAAGTTATGAATTTTTCAAAAAAATGGCTTTTTTATTTTCAAATAGCCATAACTTTTTCAAAACTAAACATTTAGGTACCTTTTTTTTTTCAAAATTTTTGTTTTTAGATGTACTTTCCGATAAAAAATATTAAAAAATTTTTGTAAGTCAATACATATGGAATTTTTCAGTTTTTTGACAAAAATCAATGCTTTTTCGAAGTTCGAAATTTTTTTTTTTAATTTTTTTTTT